TTCCTTTTTTTGTTGGAGGAGCTTCTTGTTTTTTTTGTGGTTAGAGGTGTGGTTGGTGTTTGTTGTGTGGGTGTGGTCTGTGGTGTAGTTCTTAGGCTTTTTCTTGTAGGTAGTGTGGTTTTTTTGGTTGTGTTGGTTGGGTTTTTTGTGGTGGAGGAGATGATGGCATGTCAGTGGATATGGGTAAAGGAGTGTCAAAAGGGGAGACACTTAAATCCCTAATTGGATTTTTAGACATATTGGTTTGCTTCTTCCAATATCTTCTAACAGCTATTTCTGAAAAAATGAAAGTAACAGTAGGGCATGAGTAATATAGTGACAAAACTGTATAATTTTGCAATTTATATGCAATTTAATATTAAGTTATATTATTTGTTGTTAATAGTTACAAAATTGTATAATTTTGCAGTTTAATATTAAGTTATATATAATTGTTGTTAATAGTTACAAAACTATATAATTTGGCAGTTTTATATGCAGTTTAATATTAAGTTATATCTATTTGTTGTTAATAGTTACAAAATTGTATAATTTTGCAGTTTAATATTAAGTTATATATATTTGTTGTTAATAGTTACAAAACTATATAATTTGACAGTTTTATATGTAGTTTAATATTAAGTTATATATATTTGTTGTTAATAGTTACTGTGGTTGTTGATTTCCGACCACATAACCAAACAGGAAACTCAGTTGGAGAGCACTGACAGAATAAATTAAGCCCAACAACATGCACAAGAAGATGAGAATCCGACGGTGGTTCGTCCACCTAGAGGCACACTGACGATCAAGTCAGTAATCAATATCTCTCAAAGATAGCAAATTATGCTTAAACTCACAAGAAAGAACTTCAAGTACATCACACATAAAAGCATACCTTAGACCCACGGGGATGCCTCACTTTTATAATGGTTAGTGTCTAACTTCCCTTAGAAGTCTTAGTTCATGGGACTCCATCATTTACAAGGATAACATCTATCACAACTTACACTATTCATATTAAGATGAACTCCCTCGAGAGTCCTATCTCTATCCAAATAGGTAGCTTGATGTTATCTAGGACTCTATTCCTCTATCCAAATAACTCGAATTCTGATATCCTTACAGAATACCTCGACAGTGCCCTAAACATCTCGGCAAACTTGATCTACCCACGTGGTACCTCGGCTGACACCTCAGCGTCACCTTAGCCACGTGGCATCATCTCAAAATACTTCCCCATAATTACAAAACTGTATAATTTGGCAATTTGATTTTCACTTTATAATAAGTTTACCTATTTGTTTTGAATAATGATTAAACAGTGTAATTTTGCAATTTCATTTGCAGTTTGAATAAATTTAGATATTTACTTGTAGAGTGATGAAACTGTATGATGTTTCAGCTTTATAAACACTAGCAACAATAAGAGCAGTCCATTATATCTTGTAAACAACAACAATAACAACAAGAAGATGAAGTATTCAACGAAATGTAGCAATAATAAGAAGAAGAAAAGTCAATATTTAATAACAAGAAAAAGCAACAACAACAAGAATAAGAACAAGAACAAGAAGTTGAATGTGTAAAAATAGGGGATTAAATATAATTAGAATGTGTAAAAATAGGGGATTAATAATCTAAGCAAAAATAAAATGAAAAAGAGATCTAGAATCGTAGGTAGAATATGTAAAATATGGCTTATACATTTTGAAGTATGTAAAATGTGTTTATACATGGTTTTTTTTTTTTTTATGAAAATGTTATTGAAATGGTATGATATATACAGAATATCAAAGAATAATGTACAAATTTGAATGAAAAATAAAAGGTGAAGAGAGATTTTCCTTTTTTTTTTCCCCATTTTTGTGAATTGAAAGTCAGAAATTATGAAATTTCTTCAGAGTCGTGATGGTTCTTCGCGTTATTGAGAGTCGCCAATTGGAGAAGATGAACGGCTTCGTGTTGTGTTGTTGAGAGTCGACAATTGGAGAAGATGAACGGCTTTGTTTTGTGGTTAGGGTAGGGTTTCAGAGGTAGTGGAGTCGAACGGTTGAGAGATGGGGGATTGAGAATGCATAGCCGAGCGGCGAAAATGTGACAGTGTACTGGTTAGACTGGTGTGAGATGATCGTGGGCGGAGGTTGCGCGCGTCTAAATTGGATGATATGTGAGGGTATTTTCGTCTGATTGCTAATTTGAGGATTTAATGGAGTATTGAAATTGTTTTGGATCTAAATGGGGCGTGATATGTTGGGCTTAGACATTTGGGTCAGTTCCCCAAAGTAGTTTTACACTCTTTTCTCTTATCGAAAAATAATTTATCCCTCTAATTTTCCTTCCTAAATTCCACCTATGTGAGAAGAATGTAGGATCACTTTATATAAGAGTGAAATTAGAGGGGCAAAATTAAGGGATGCAGTATTACTTCTCTCTTATCTAACTTTAGCCCCTGTAATTTTACATCATTTGGGATGGAATTGAGGGAGCAAAATTAGGAGGATGAATCAAATTTTTTTTTTAAATGACAAATTACAAAAAAAAAAAAAAAAATTGGACCATTATAACAAAATAAATCTTGAATTTTTAATTATGTCTATTTAAATTCTAATTTCTTGATTTTTAATCTAAACATGCCTATTTTGTTTAGTAAAATTGACCAAAAAAAGTATTTTAATCCTTAAACTTAACAAAAATTTGTATTTTTGACATTTTATGTACACTTACATTGAGTTTAATGACTAAAATGCTATTTTTTCGTCGATTTAAGTTCACGAAAATAGATGAATGTTTGGATTGAAAACAAATCAAAATATTAGGTTTAAATTAATAAAATTAAAATTTTAAGATTTATTTTATTACAATGATCAAATCATAAGATTTTTTTTTTTTTGTAATTTTCTCAGAAATAATAATAATCACTTTCAAATTAGGGATATTTACACACAAGTCTTAATTTATGAACTTATACTCCATGAAGTCCTAACTAAGATTTTTTAGACCTTCAAGTCCCATTAAATTTTTGGGATAATTTTATTTTATCCCTATGTGGTTTCACAGGCTTTCACATTACCTCCTTGACGTTGAGAAATGTACTCATAAACTCTCTGTGATTTTGACTGAAGTGCAAAAGTGACGAAATCTGGTAGACTTAATAGTGCGTGGAGCAGATGCGCTAGAGAAGTGTGTTTGCACTGAAATTAAGGGTTTGGGTACCAAATTTAAAATTTTGAGTGACCAATCTACCCTTCCACTTTCTTATATATATATATATATGCCTATATGAAAAGTTGTTTTAGAGATGCATTTCATATATATACATAGAGGAGATGGGTTTGGATGCATTTCATGAGTTGGATGCATTTCATATATATATATATATACAGAGAGAGAGAGAGAAAGAGAGAGAGAGATGGGTTTGTGGGTTGTGGGTTGGATGCATTTCATAGATATACATGGAGGAGATGGGTTTGGATGCATTTCATGGGTTGGATGCACAGAAAGAGAGAGAGAGAGAGATGGGTTTGTGGGTTGTGGGTTGGATGCATTTCATATATATACATGGAAGAGATGGCTTGGATGCATTTCATATATATATATATATACATACATGGAGATGGGAGACAGAGAGAGAGAGAGAGATGGGTTTGTGGGTTGTGGGTTGGATGCATTATATATCTATATACATATACACATAGAGAGGGAGTTCATAAAGAGAGAGAGTTCAATTGTGAGAAAAATGGAAGTAGAATGTCATTCATAAGAAAATTGAAGAAAAAAAAAAGGGAATTCTAGTTTTTTCAATAATTCCGTCACGTCCCGTCACTTTTGCACTTCAGTCAAAACCACAGGGAATTTATGAGTGCATTTATCAACGTCAAGGCGGTAATGTGAAAACGCGTGAAACCATAGGGGGTAAAATGTAATTATCCCTAAATTTTTAATAGTCGGAATTGCCATTCAAATAATGATTCTTCATCATTTATAATTATCTATAAAGGAACATGGTGATTTGACATTTTTTTTGATTTTTAAAACTTTAAAATATTAACTTTCAAATTGAAAAAACTAAAAAAATGTACAAAAAATTTTGAAAAATTAAAAAAATTAAATTATTTTTTTGTGCAAAATTAAAAATTTTGTGTCTATAAAGGAGTATGATGATGGAAAATTGATGAACAAAACTAAAAGAAAAAAAAATTTAAATGAAAAAACTGATAATGTTCTCAGTTTTAAAACTGAAAAAAATTGATAATGTTCTCGATTTTATTGGATAGTTAAATCATACCAATAAGTAGAAGGGCAAAAACGTTTAATCTGATACTCAGTTTTTTTCATCAATTAGTGAAACAATTATCTAGAACATTATTATGTAAAATTGATAATGTTCTTAGTTTTAAAAATTGAGAAAAATTGATAAATATTATCAGTTTTACTAAATAGGACTTATTGGTTCAAATTTTTTTAAATAAGAACTGAACTACTATAACATTTGTAAATAGGATTTTTAGATAATTAACTCTTTAAATTATTTATAAAAAAAAAATTGATTGTTTGATTTCGGCTAATTTAAATGACAAAAAACGAAAAGAAAACGAAAAAATAACAGCAAACTCAACCTGTGTAGCTAGTGTTGAAGCCAAATTTTTTGGGTTTGTTTTGTTTTGTTTTTTTTGTTGTTGTTGTTGTTAAATCTTCAGTGAAATTTTATTTTATTTTATTTTATTTTTTTATCGTTGTTCGAAATGGTCAAAATAAATTAAACATCATGTCAGATGAGTACTTCAACATTACACACAATATTACCGTTCAATAATAAAATATGAATTTCATTATGTAAATGTAAATCTTATCCAACTCAATGTGTTGACTTAACACAAGTGGGATACGCTATGCCAACATGACAATTTATGATTAAATGATAATACCATACATTAATCATGCGATATCATCATTATAACTAATATAAAAAAAAAATTCTCTTTGTGAGATAAAAGTCCAAATGAAAGCCTTTCATAATAGAGCTTAATTGGATATATTAATGTATCTAACCATGCATACAACAAAAATAAAAGAATGGATCCAGCTAAAAAATAACTCCACATTATAGTCCAATGATTCATATAAGTTGAGTGAAAAAACTCAAAGATAAAAGAAGCAGAAGCTTCACTAGTGAAATTTCACTATCATACTTAAAATGTAGACACAATCTCAACCGGGATCACATTGAAGAAGATGGCCATGACAATTGAGACAAGTCCCGCAAGTCGAGGTCGATGAGCAGACCAGCTCGAGTTGCTGGATCTTATCGGCGATGAAGTTCCGGTAGTTGTACTAGCAGGGGTCATTGATGTCCCTGTCATCGTGGAATGAGTGGTTGATGGAGAAGAAGGATTTGTGAATATTTTGTAGTAAGGAGAACTTGCCGGTATGTTTAGAAGCTCTACTCATTGAAAAAAAAGGCACAACACAAAGTTAGCATCTGAATCTAATTACGATTTCTTAGACTTGTGTTTGGATATAAGATTGAAGTAGAAATTCGTGAAGGAAAAGAAAAAGGTGTTCGGAAATACGTATCTAAATTCTTACCAAGACCCACCTTGTACTGGTTGGAGATGTTCAAGGTAGTATATATGGAAGATCTACTACATCCCTAAGCCCTTTAAAGCGCAAAAAATGATACTTCAATAAGATAACCGAAGAGCCAAATGTTTAAGTGGTATTTCTTATGTCAAGTTTGGTATATGATAAAAGTGAATGTGGATTTTTTTTTCTTTATTATGTGGAACTCAAAATTAAAGGTTTGGGTAGATATCATCTTTTTATTTCTTTATTATTTTGCCTTGTGTTGACCCAAAAGCACTTGCTAGCTGTTAAAAGTAGTTCAACAAATTTTGCGCTATAATATGTCAAAAAAGCACTTCAGTGAAAAATGAGTTTGGTTTGTGCTTGTAGAGTAGTTTTTGAGATAAAAAATACAAAAACTTATTTGATTTGCCTTTTTTTAGAAATAATTTTGGAAAATTATTTTAGAGAGAGAGTTTTAAAAAAAGTGATTGATTTGATGTGTATGAGAGAGAGAGTGATTTTGGAAAGTAGGTAACTAAATAAAATTTTGAGATTTTTTTTGAAAAAATTTATTTGGTTTAATTACTCTTAAAAATTTATTTATAGAGAATTTTTTCCAAAAATTTTTCTGAAAAACAAACCAAACAAGGCCTTCGGAAGTTATTATTTTTCCCAAAATTTCTATTATCATATAATTTATATACAGGATTTTTGAGGGAAATTATTATTTTTAACATAAAACTCATCTAAATTTAAAAAGGACAAGATTGTTTCTAAAGTGGTAGAGTGAGATCCATCACAAGTCCTATTTTAAAATTTTAAATCATTTTTTTTGTCGAGAATTATGTATAGATCATTCTTAAAAATATCAAATAGATCAGTTAATCTAATTTTATTACATTTGTGTTAAAAAAAATAAATGACAAGTATAATTTAAAAATAGACTATCCACTTTTTAATTCCAAAATAGGAGTCTTAAATAATAAATTTTTGGTAGACAAGTGTATTATTGGATTAAAAAAAAAACTTATATATTTGCTAACGAACTTATTAATTTAAATATTAGAATGACTTTTTGTTGGACCATTTTAATATCTTATATTTATTTATTGGTTTATCTTTTTCATAAATGGGGTTTTATTACTTTGGTAACCTCTTGGTCATAAATGGAGGATAAATAGAATTCATGAACTTGGTTAATGGTCATTATTTTGGTGTAACCATTTTCTTGTTTAATGGTCATTATTTTTGGTGTAACTGTAAGGTCCTTATAGCCTATATATATAGTCTACTCTTTTCTATCTATAGAGATAAGCTATTTTCTATACAAGAGAGATTACTAGCAAATAAGGGTGTTTTATTGGTGGAGCTTTGGGTTCACCATCTTGTGCAGAGTTGGCCTGAACCATACGACAAGTGGTCGGGCTATTGTATCCTGGAGGGGACAAGTCATAGTGTTGTGACTGCTGCATCGGTATTTGGATTCTTCCTACCGCAGTGGGCTTGATCTCCTTAAAAAAAACGAGATATCCGTACCTCAGCCTAATCTATTTGTATCTCATTTTCTTTGCATCATTTATCAATAATATAGTTTAGTTTCTGGTATTTTCTCCAACACTTTTGATCTCTAATACAAATCAAATAAGTACCAATGTGGAATTTAAAGGAGATCTGAAAATATTTATTTTCATCAATTCACAATTTCTTTTGATATAAATGTGCTTCACGTTATTTATTAATGACAAAGGCCTATTTTGACAATTAAAAAAAATTAATTTATTGGCTAATTTGGGTCACATTAAAAAATTACTTCTCTATTTTTATTTTTGGGTACATTTTTTAAAAAAAATTAACAAAATTAACTTTTTTTTTTTCTCAATTTTCAAAATACGCCAAAGTGATTTTTGCAAAGCCGGCCAACTAATAATTTTTCATGAGTGGCCATCTAGTCAAAAGATTCCAGCATAAAACTAAGCTTTTTTTCTTGACTGAGCAGAAAACTAAGCTGTCTGTCTCGCATAAACAAACTACACAATAGCCCACAACACAACCATTTATAAATAGACTAGTAGGAAATTTAATAGGTAACCCTCAAATGTCATGTTTAGTACTCTTATAAATGGAAAATTATGAGATAAATTATGTAAATTATTTGGTGTTTTAAAATTATTTAATAAAATTATATTAGTATTAGTAATAAAAAAATACCAACAAATATACTAATCAAGATATAAGACCACCACTTTATTAGAGACATCTAACATTGTCTCTAGTTGGTATATTCATTAGATGCTTGTTATTGTCTTAGCTATAAAATTTGTCGCTACATTATTGACAAGAGATCTCACACGAATAAGAAAATTATTAAATATTTTCAAAATATCGCATGGCATTGTGATACTCTCCGAATGAATTTGTTCACACGTTGGTTGCATTTGATTGGTACACAATAAAATTGCCAGTTTCACTTTTAAAAATTGTATACTCTATTATTTTAAATTAATAAAATTTATATTTTTTTCACGTACATTGATAGCGTGTGAACAAAATTAGACTCTACTATCATTCAATGAAAAATCACAATACACTAATTACATCATTTCACCTATCTAATAAAAGTGAATCAATATAGACTCCATTTGGCAATTTCGTTTTTTGAGTAAAATAGTCTAGAAGTCACTAAAAACTAAAATATCACTAAAGTCTTGTTTATCAACTATATATTTTAGCTAAAATATCAAAAAATCACTATAAGTTATTACATCACTCTCTCTATTTTTTTGTACATTTTTTCGTAAAAAAATTAAAAAATTACTAAAATAGTTTATTTCCAAACGAGGCCTAAAACAAGAAAAAAATCAAACGTGTCAATAATTCATGATTTTTTATACAACGAGAAAAATATTATAAGAAAAAAAAGTCACTAAAAAAACAAATTTTCAAACGTGATCATATATACTCGGAAAATTTTTCACTAGGCCTAATTTGGAAACTTGGTAGTCAAATTTTGGTTTTTAACCTATTTTTGGTCACATCAACCCTCTACTTTTTATATTTTTTTTTTTTTCAAAAAAATTAAAAAAACAGACAACCAAAAAATCAACGTTTAATCAACTTCCTAAAACAACCTATGATTGGTTTAAATGGTCTTTGATCTTCTCCATTCAATGAAATAGTAATATAAACTTATGATTATTTTAAATTACATTTATCGTTTCATGGTATAATGAAACCTTTCCATTACAAGTATTTAATGAAATAAATCAGAATCCAGCTTAAATTATCACGTATGTCACACTCATGTAGACAGTACAAAATGACATTTCAAGACTATCGTTTGGTAGCTTAAGGTTTTGTTTGGAAAAAAAAGTTTTAATTTTTTTTTTTTGTGTGTGACTATTTTAACTTATTTAATAGGATGAATTTAGTTTTTTTGTAATTCTATAAAAGAAAAAATAAAATAATTATGATTTGAATATAATATTTTATTTTATTGATTTTTTTACTTATTTTACCTTTTGATAAGCTAAATCAGTCTCAACCACGTTGTCAAACAAAGGATAAATTTTTAGGTCAAGTTTGGCTAACCTAAAAAGTACACTTATTTCATCTTTTTATCTTTTTTGGATCACATCAATCAATATCTCCTCTCTACTTTTTCTACACATAATACAAAAAAAAGTCAAAAAGTGCACTTATTTAGTCTTCCCAAACTTGACCTTCACTAAAAATTATAAAATCACCATATTTTTCTTTACGTCGTTTCGTAAAAACTCTAAAAACCTTAAATCAGTCAATTCCCCGACCACATATGAGAGAGAGAGAGAGAGAGAGAGAATGGTGGGTGATCTTACTTGGGCAATCAGTGACACTAGCATTAGTGAGCTTGCAAGAAGAGGGAAGTTGAAGCAAACGAGACTGTTGAATACCCATGTTCTTGATCTGCTCACTACCATTGTAAGTCTGTTGAATGATATAACAAAGACACACAGGGTCCTTGTCCTTGATCTCCGCCACCGAGTTACAACACTCCGTCGTCGGCGCCGCAGCCTTCCCCGTCGCGTAGTTCAGACACGTCACCAGCATCTCGAAGTCGTTGCTGCACTGGTCTTCAACAGTAGTTGTAGCAGTAACAACAACAACAACTACAGAGACAAACAAGACCATTGAAACTGTTAATGTACCACTAAACCTAACCCACTACACCCACTCAACTCCACTAAACCTAACCCACTCTACCCACCACCTCCACTACCATCCACTACCACCACTCACTAACCCAAACCCTCTCCTATATAATGCCACTCTGATTTGTAATACAATATATACAAACAATCATGTAACAATATCAATCAATAATATACATCAATTTGTTTTACATATACATATATTATATTTTTAATCCAAAAACAACCAAAAATAATGTAAAACTAACACTAATCAACTTGAAAACCCACTCAATTACATCGAAAATGTCAAAAGCTTGTAAGTTCAACAATGAATAGCTTATCCACTAAAAATCTATAGATCCCCATTATTTTCTTCAAGAAATAATAATATGGTGTTAATATTTACTAAAATTAGGTACCAAAAATTCTAAAGCTCATTCTTTGTTGAGAAAATTGAACAGACTACTTAGGAGAGAGAATACTAAGCAGGTACGAGATCCTCTATTGAGTCGGCTCCGGCGCCTACTCCGATGTCTACAGAGCTCGCTAACTCTCCGACTCCTCATCGTCACCCTCAAAAGTGACGATCACCTGTAGGGAGGAGAGTTTCCCATCTGCCATTATTCGCGACTACCGCGGTCTGAGACTGACCACCTGTAGCCTCATCACTGCCACCACAATCCCTTTATCTGTCGACAATGACCACGACGACTCGGTGTGGACGATGACGTGGGTCCCAGCCACGGAGGCGCAGCCAGCGCTCCTTCTGCAGCCAGCGCTCCTTCTGACGGAGTCACTGGATGAAACGGTGAGGGTATGGAGCCCCGACGAGCTCACAAGCGTCGCCACCAACACCGGCCACTACCTCGGCGTCGAGAGGGTAGTACCCATGGAGAATGGGGAATGGAAAAAATTTATTATAGGGGAATAGGGATGGGGAATTAATATCCACCCCCATTAACCCCCATTGCCATCCCTAACTGCTACTAAGAAGTTTGAGCAGGCGGCAACCAAAATATCGTACAAGCCAGCTTGCCAAGTTTTCCATTTCAAATCACGCCACTGAAAATATCCAGATAACAGTGCCGAGATATGTCTTCTGTTCCCATAAAGCTTATTAATATTTTAGTAGAAACCATGATACTCTTTCTTTTTCTTTTTGTTTTTTGGTGTTTATGTTAGGTAGATAGCTGTTGATAGAAATTTTTTTTGGGAAAGATTGTGTATTTTGCGAAGATGTAATGTTTAATGTTCTGGCTCCCCAATGCCGGAGCGTCTTGCAGCTGCAATGATAGTTCTGTTTAGCATGTTCGGATCAATTCTTCTATTTCGATTAGTATAGAGAACTAATCACTATTCATTCAATGATATTTGTAATGATGGTCTGTTTCCATTGGTATATCTCCCACTTTCTTGTAACCTGATTTCGAGCGCCAGGATTAGAGCAAGTACTTGGTGATCTTTTCTTGAAGCCTTTGTTTATTACATGTTGATTTTATGTTTTAAGGAATTTATTCATTTTTGAGACATATATTCTTTTATAGATTTTTACTAGGAACAGTTATTTTGTCACCAAACAGAACGTTTCACACAATTAAGTTTTAACAACGATTCATAAAGGTCCTCTTAGATTTTTTGTTGATGTTTTTTAAAATGTCATCTTAAAATTGTGGGTTGAAATTTTTTTTTCCTGTTTTATTTTTTTCTGTCATTTGGGTGTTAGTTGTCAATTGTCAATTGTCAATTGTCACATAGTTTTTCTCATAATCAAATTTTGTCATCAAATAAAAAATTCAACTTATTCAACAAACTGCATTCAAAATTTATATTTCACATATTCACAGTCAAACTCGTATACTTTAGGTCTCATTTCAGCATTAAAAATATATTAGACTAAGAAAGCCATTAATGTAACTCAAAAAAACAAAAAAGTTTAAATTTGGGACAACAGAGAATAGAAAATGGGATTCACTTTTCTTTAAAAAATATCTGAGGAAAATACATATCAATGAAAATAATTAAAATTATAAAACTATAAAATTGCAAATGGAATTTATGTTCTAGTGTAAGGTTGATTATAATTTTCACTTGCAGTAAAGCACAGACTCCACCTTATACCTTCCGAAACATTTGATTCTAGTAACTTTTTATAAGAATTTTGTTAACATATACTCTTAAATCATGTGTTAAGAACACTACAAGAAAAGTAACCTATGGTGACGAAAAGTAGTGAAGAAAATAAATTTCGTCATTAAATAAGAATGATCTGTGACGAATTATAAAATTTTGTCACATATAATAAAAAAATAAAGATAATAGGTGACAAAATTTATTTTCGTCAACAAATACTTCTTTTTAGGTGAGGAAAAATTAAATTTCGTCACCGAAGGTTTTCCCGCTAATTTTTTTTGGTGGTGCCAAGAGTTTGAGACTTTTGGTGAGAAATTTTTTTTGTCACCAATTATAAAATTATTAGTGAGGAATATATTTTCGTCACCAATAATTTTATATATATATTTTTTTAGAAACATAATTTTAAATATTTTAAGACCATTTGGTGAGAAATATATTTTTGTCATTAATAATTTTTAATATTTTGAAACTTTTTAGTGAGGAAATTATTTTGTCACTAATTTTGGAGGGAAAATTTTGACATATTAGGCGGTAATGAAAAAAAATAGACTACTAACCTTTTTTCCTTTTTTTTTAATCAGTTTTCCTCTCTCTCTCTCTCTCTCTCTCTGAACAAAACACAAGTTAATTAGCTCTTTAAGTAACTTATGGTGATGAAAAGTAGTGAAGAAAATAAATTTCATAACTAAATAAGAATAATCCGTGACGAATTATAAAATTTTGTCACATATAATAAAAAAGTAAAAATATTAGGTGTCAAAATTTATTTTCGTCAATAAATACTTCTTTTTAAGTGAGGAAAAATTAAATTTCGTCACTAAAGGTTTTCCTCTAATTTTTTTGGGTGGTGCCAAAATTTTGTGATTTTTGGTGAGAAAAAAATTTGTCACCAATTATAAAATTATGAGTAAATTACAAATGCACTCCCTGAAATTTACTTAAAATACGGATGGTCTCTTGTGGTTTGAAAAATTACAAATACCCCCTTGTCAAATTTTTTTATTTATTAGAATTAACTGAAAAAATAAAATTCTTAACCACTGCCCTATATAATAATAAAATTACCTGAATTATTAATTAAAATAAAATTTTAACATCATTAAAAACTATTAATTAATTTGATGTTTTATTAATAAAAGGGGTTATTCATTATGAAATTAAAAACCTTAGGGGGCGGGATGTAATTTTTAGAATCACAGGGGGCAATTTATATTTCAAACAAACCTCAAGGGTTGTGTTTTTAATTTATCCTAAAATTATTAGTGAAAGATATATTTTCGTCACAAATAATTTTAAATATTTAAAAAAAATTAATTTTAAATATTTTGAAACTATTTAATGAGAAATATATTTTCGTTGTCAATAAATTTAATATTTTAAAATTTTTGGTGAAAAAATTAATTTTGGAGCAAAACTTAAAGATATTGACGGAATGAAAAAAAGAACCCACTAAATCCCCCTTTTTTTTGTTTTTGGGTGCTTCTGTTTCCTTTCATTTCTCTCTTGTAAAACATTGACTTCACCCCCCCTCCTTCAGCTTGTTCTCCTCCTTCAGTGCCGTCATTGACATCACCCATTCTCCTCCTTCAGTGCCGCCACCGACATCACCGCGTTCTCCTCTGAGCAATCGTCAGCGCCGCCGGCGTCGCTTATTCGATTATTTATCTATTTTTTCTCTTTTCAGGTATG